TTAGACAATACAGAGTAAAGGAGTTTAGTGTGATAACCAACCATCACGCGTGAGCCAATCTCCCCTAAAGACACCGAGTTCACGTCTCTCCCAGAACTCTAACACTACACAGCGAATTGAATATCGATTAATTATGTCGTCTTGAAGGAAATCACCTACTGATTAATTAATACCAATCAGTGTGTTGTTGTAAGGTCAAGGGTTATTATTGCTACTACTACTTCTGCTACTACTACTACTACTACTACTACTACTACTTTTTTTTTTTTTTTTTTGAACGTGGCCTCCAGCCTCCCCCAATAGCCACACCTTCGCCACCATTTAATTACCTTAATATTAAATATCCTAATACATAAGTAGCTATCCTATCTGTGTTAAATTAGTTGAGCCGCAGATCTATGCGGCATTCAGTGACAGTAGCCTCATAGTCAATATCTGCAGCAGTTGTCGGAGTTGGGGCAGAAGCTCTCGTTCCCCTGAGGCAGAGCAAAGCCGACCGAAGGAGAGAGAAAGACAGTCGACATCTCATCCAGGCTGTAACATAACTTCTGGGCTGCTGCTTCTGTTCGGAGATCACCTCCGCGAGTCTGGCGTAGAAACATCTTGCACTTGGTCCCATCCCACCAGAGGTTGTGAACACTAGAGGAGTGAAGCTGCCTTGATCAACGTTTTGAATTCTCTCCCCATATGCCCTTCTCTTGTCGTTCTCGTTCCTCCTATGCAGCATCGAGAGCTAGGTTACGGTGACATGCGGCCATGGGATAAAAAATCCTGATGTCGAAGAAAGCTCGCTGTCCCCGCGTCCAGAATCCTCGAGCACTGACGTCCACACAGGCTTCGTTAGATGTGTTTGAAGTCCTGTGTTGGAAGATCTCACCATCCAATGGAAGGAGGGTCGGTTCTACCATGACATCCCGGCAGATTTCCTTCAACATATTTGCTGTGAGATCCCTTACCTCGTCATGCCTCATGCATATGAAGCCCCCCTTCTTGCACACCATGGCGTGATCGCCATCATAGGAAGAGCCACACACGCATTGGGAGGGCAAACCTTCTACTGGCCGACCGTACCTTAGAGCAATGGCATCTGTAAATTCTTGTTTATTAAGACTGAAACCATTTGCCCTTATCGGTAACGTAGTTAACCAGTTCGAGGCGCCCACCTCCTGCGCTATAGCTACTTTTTTTCAAATTTTCTGGTACCTGCAGCAATAGTTGCTGCAACTTATCATTTTGGCAGTGCTGTCGATCTGTCGTAATGGACCTACGAATCTTATTTACTTCGCTGGTAACCACTTCCCCTGTTGCATTCTGGGCTATTATGTGGTCTGTGAGGGCTGCCATGAGCTTAAGTGAATTTTGGTGTTCAGTGGCAGCAATCTCCTCTGGATTTGTCAGTCCCATCCCTCCCAGTCTTGGTGGAAGTGCAAGAAGTGCTCTTTCTGCTGGGGTTAAGTCAGGGTGCTTCACTAATTTGGGAATGAACTTGACACTGGTAGCTTCTTCCAGGGGGTGGAGGAGGGGTCCGATCTCAGGGATGGTACGCATCAGGTAGTTCCAACGATGCTTGACTCCATGGGTGAATGCAGCAAAGGCCGCATGTGGCTCGTGTCAGCAATCTACTACTACTACTACCCTTTAGTCCTGTCACCCCCGAATACCAACTTTTACCTGATCACCCAGCAAGAAGTGTTAATTACCTAATCAAGATAAGTTTACCTGTGTGGGCGGGGTCATAGTGTGGGCGAGGCCTCTTGCTCGCTCTAGAATCGTAAGCGGGATGGGCGTGATAGCAGCCAGAGCGAGGCCATAGTTCGTGGCCTGAGTGACTCCCTTGCGTACTATGTGAGTCAGGTGAAGGCGGCCTTGTCCACCATCCTCACTCTCCAGGTGGTAACTGTGGGGAGGGGGGGGGGAGAGAAAGATAAGTGCTGACTGTAATAACTGGTAACTGTGACTCCCTACTGCTGACTGTGACTCCCTACTTATACTGCTGACTGTCACTACTACCTTATATTGCTATTTGGTGACTGTGATACTCATACTGTACTTCTGACTGGTGACTGTGGCTACCAACTAATGCTTCTACCTGGTGACTGTGGGTTCTAACTTAAACTACGACCTCCTGGTGAAGATAAAACACTGTGAGGAAGGAGGCGCTTGGAGGGGAAGTCTTGTACTACTCACTTGGCAACACTGGGATAGAGATTGGCTAGCCTGGTGAGGAAGAGGGCGTGGGTGGCGAGGACGGTGGTGGCGCGGGCGTGGATGAGAGCCTCCATGATGGCCCAGGCTAACGAGGCACCTTCCTCTACGCTGGTGCCAGAACCCAACTCATCCAGCAGAACCAGAGACTCTCGCCCCGCCCCGCTCAGCATGTGGGAGTCACTCATCTGTCGTAGGGGGGACGAAGATATATGGAGAGAAACTACAAGAGAAAACATTGTAACCCTCAATTGTTTAACCCCTTGAGTACAATGTCTTAACCCGTTGATTACGATTTTTAACCCTTTGAGTATTGTATCATAACCCCTTTGAGTACGATATCGTAACCCCTTTAGTATATCATAACCCCTTGAGTACCTCCGTCCTCAAATGGGCCTAACGCTATTACACACCTAATCATAATCTATCTCTTGGAAAATATCGAACTTTATGGTATTACAACGTACAGTACCACCTGGGGCCAGTCTTGGATCGGGTTATCATCTTATATTCATGATTATTTCCAGGTGCATACCTTCCAATTAGCAGCCGAGGGTAAAACGTCCTGGTACTGTGTGATGACGTGTTCATTACGCCTCTCCTTCTGCTCTATGTATTTTTCGATCAGTAAGTCTGTAATTTCTACTGTAATCCCTTTTGAATCCCTACTGTAATCTTTTTTGATCCGTACTGTAGCCACTTTAAAATCCCTACTGCAACCTCTTTAAAATCCCTACTGTAATCCCTTTTAAATCCCTACTGTATCCCCTTTAAATCCCTACTACGACAGGTAAATATATAGTCTCACGAAACATAAAATCCTCAAGCCGTTGTACTGTATATACATAAGTAAAATATTTATTCATATTAAAAAAACAAAAAAATAAATCGACAGAAAACATATGAGATTAATTTGTGTGTGCAGGCACCATCACCACCACCACCACACCACCACCACCATCACCACACACCACCACACCACCACCACACCACCACCATCACCACCACCATCACCACCATCATCACCACCACCACCACCACACCACCACCACCACCACCACCACACCACCATCACCACCACCACCACACCACCACCACCATCACCACCATCACCACCACCACCATCATCACCACCACCACCACCACCCCACCACACCACCACCACCATCACCACCACCATCACCCCATCACCACCACCATCACCACCACCATCACACATCACCACCACCATCACCACCATCACCCACCACCATCACCCACCACCACCACACCACCACCACCCACCACACACCACCATCATCACCACCACCACCACATCACCACCACCACCACACCACCACCACCATCACCACCATCACCACCACCCACCATCACCACCACCAGCACCACATCACCACCACCACCACACCACCACCACCATCACCACCACCACCATCACCACCATCACCACCACCACCATCACCATCACCATCACCACCACCACCACCACCAGCTTTACCAGCGTGGACCAACATCCAATTACTGGGTGACCACGGCACATGACGCCTCCCTCGTGGACAACAAGAGGCGGTACAATGCTTACTTACACTCATCTCTCATGGTGGTAATGCTCGCCCGTCACTCACACCTGATGGCTTTTTGTGTCCGATATTGCCTCCCCACGATTGGCCTGTGTGAGCTCTGAAGCCTGTAGCACTCTCTCTTTTTCTCTCTCCCTCTCCTCTCTCTCCTCTCTCCCCTCTCTCTCTCTCTCCTCTCTCCCTCCCTCCCCTCTCTCTTTCCTTCCCTTGCCTTTATTGCACAAGATCGCGTGTTGTGTTGTAGTAGTATTTCATTATTGGAGGTCTTGTGTTGTGTTTACTGTTTCAAATTCTTATCATTATTATCTTGATATTCTTCTCGTTCTTTATTCTTATCATTACTAATTTCTTCTTAACATTATTATTATCACGATCGTCTTGCTTCTTCCTGTATTTATTTTCTTATTCCGTTTATTTATGATATCTGCTTCTATCTTTTCTTCGTCATCTTCCTCTTTTTAATATTTTTCTTCTCCTTCCTCTCCATTTTCTTCCTTATTCTCTTTTTTTCTTCCTCCTCCTACGCTTCCTTCTCTTCCTCCTCTTTCTCTCCCGTTCCTGTTTCTCCACCTCTTCATCTTCCTTCTCTCCCTCTTCCTCCACCCTGTTATCATCCTTCTCCCTTTCCTCTTCCCCTCCTCCTCCTCTCATTCTCCTCCTCTTCATCATTCTTCACCTACCTAGACAACATCTCCCATTACACGTGACGTAAACATTGTCCATACATCTTCAGTTATTCCTGCCACTCTCCTCTAGGTCAGGCCCTTAGCTATACTGTCGTTGAGGCTGATAGTGTATGGGTTCTGAGTATGACTTCTCTAGGGTAAGGGAGGGTAGGTGTGTTGTGTTGTTAACCTTTATGTGTGTATAGATATAACTTTATTTGTACACACACACACACACACACACACACACACACACACACACACTACGTAAGATCAACCATTTTTTTATATCAAGAGTGGGTTGGTGGGTGGGGGGTGGTGGTGGGGGGGAGGTGGGGTGAGGGTAGGGTCAAGGTGGATGTGGGGTTAAGGTGGAGGTAAGGTGGAGGTGGAGGAATAGACAGTAAGAAAAGAGATCGTGGCCTCTGCAATAAAGCCTGTGCCTTCCCTCACCTCCTCCCCTACCCCTCTCCTTCCCCCACCTCCTCCCCTACCCCTCTCCTTCCCCACCGCTCCCCTACCCCTCTCCTCCTCGACCCCTTACCTAGGTTTACCCAGTCTCTTGATCCAGCAAGTCCCGGCCAACTTCAAAAAGATTTTCAAAGTCCTATTTGGGGAAATGATATTCGGGAGAGGAACTGGTAAAGCTGAAACGGTCGGATGATCTGTGAGTAGGAGCATAAGAGAGTCTGTCCTTTTGTAGAGAGAGGGAGAGGAAGGGTGGGGGAGAGAGGGTACGAGGAGGTAAGTTATGCTGTTTTCTTATCAATTCCCCAAAAGTGGAATATTTCTTATCCTGGTTATTGGTTCGGTTTATTGTGTGTGTGTGTGTGTGTGTGTGGTGTGTGGTGTGAATTAATTATTTTTCTTTTTTTTTTCTACGTTTCTCCTTATTACTTATCTGGACTAAAGAAATATAAAGATAATTGGAGGTGTAGGGAGAACCACACACACACACACAACACACAACACACACACACACACACACACACACACACATACAGGGAGATTCAGGAATTGAACATCAGAAAAAAACAAATACTTGGAACGGGAATCTGATGCCAGTTTATGTCAAAGGCTTTTCATAGTATCGAGGGAAACAAAAGGTATAGATCTCTGAAAAGAACAAGAGTATCGAGTCTGGTGATGGGGGAGGGGAGGGGAGGGTGTGGTAGGAGAGGGGAGTGTGTGGGAAGGGGGGAGGGGAGTGTGTGGTAGTGGCGGTGGTGGTACTCGAACACAAACCATATTGCGTGTGAAGGAGGAGTTTTATTTTCGTTTGTGTGTGTGTGTGTTTTGTCAATGGTGAGATGGAGAGAATTAATTATCTTTTTTTTTATCAGTGGGGGAATAATAAGTTACATGTTTATTGGATTTATCAAGATGGAGGAAGAGTAATATATATTGTTATAACAGGAGATAGAGAAGGTGGTTAGGTTAGGTTAGGTTAGGTTAGAGACCCACACAATATACGAACAACTTAACCATAACTCAGTAAAGCTGTTGAGTGTATGAGAGATGACGAGATTAATGTTGGTATTTTAACACGATGCAACCTAATTTATATGCATGAGTCTAAGTCATTATATTGTGTAAACACGACACAGTTAAGACTGGTCACAGGCAGCTACGAGTGATAGTGAGTTACTCTGACGCCTCAAACATGTAAATCTATATACACTGTACACACACACACACACACACACACACACACACACACACACACACACACACACACACACACACACACACGCACACACATCTCCTGCCTCTCACCTACAGCTCCCCTCCTTCTCCTCCCTCCTCTCTCTCACCTGAACTTGAAAGGTAGAGGCGTTGTTTTCAGGTGCGTCTTCGGAGCCCAGGTGTGTGTAGATCTGTCGCACCAGCCGCAGGGAAGCATACTCTGCCGGCACGAAGCTCCCGATCTGTAGGTGATGACACTTTGTTATTGTTTACACCGAGATAAAACAGTTTCGTCCCTTTCACTTCACATCACATCAGTAACTTTAACCCCCTCACCTACCCCTCGCCTAACCCCTCACCTAACCCCTCACCTAACCCCTCACCTATCTCCCCACCCCCCACCAATACCCACACAAAGACCAATATTCTCATGACTGTATAATCAATCATCAATCAAGCATCTTCCAAGGCGCTTGTAGCGTTTGTCATTAATACAGGGATAGAGGCGGTCACCCAAGAGAGGCAGGGAAGGGCCTAGCTCAGCTGGGAGGATACATATGAGTGACACATGATAACACATAGCTGGTCTTACCATATGATAACACATATTTAATACACAAATAACACGTGGATAACATATAATAACACAGGTAACACAGTGATACGATTAGATGACACATTTTGTCACTCACACACACACACACACAAACACACACACACACACACACACACACACACACACACACACACACACACACACACACACACACACACACACACACACACACACACACACACAGAACACGACTGAAGGCTCAAATACATCCCTTACAAAATTACAATACATATACACAGTCATCGAAAACAAATACCCAGATTTTCATACATAATCCCTTAAAATCTGGTTTATTTTCTTTCGATGATTTTTGTTATACATATTAATACCTCACCTTGGGAGTGGGGAGAGGGGGGGGTAGGAGGAGGGAGTATCACCCAGGTATCCGACTGAAGATTCTCCGGTTAAATATTGAAGACTCTTATATACTTGAGACAATGTATCTTTTTTTTTCTGGAGACTTTGTAGTCATTTTTAGATCTTCAAAAGAACAGTCATGTAAGAATATAGATGGCTTTTTGGTGTGTGTGTGTGTGTGTGTGTGTGTGTGTGTGTGTGTTTATTTTTATTTTTATTTTTTATGGACGTATCCATTGAAGTGACCTAAGAATAAAAGAAACCCACATTCGCGTTATTATTTATTTTTATCATGGAAGATTAAAGGAAGTGACGCTGGTAATAAATAAAAATAAAGTTAATTGTCTTGAAGTAAAAGATTATTTAACCTTTGAAAGTAAACTTGACTATAAGAAAAAAATCAGCACAAAATAAATAAAAAATTAATTGTACTAAAAAGTGATAGAATATAGGGATGATGTTGTACTGTAACCATATCGAGTTCAGAATTACGAAAATATGGACACTGTATTCGCCGTATTTTCCCCAGCACTTAAAGTAATTCGGGAAAATAGTTTTGTGTGATAGTTTCTTCCCTTACTGTTATTTATTGTGAGGAAAAACGTGTATGGTTTGGTTAGGTTTGATAAGGTCAGGTTAGGTTAGATGATGTTAGCTTTGGTTAGATAAGGTCAGGTCAGATCAGGTTAGATTAGATTAGATGAAGTTAGGTTAGGTTAGAATGGGACAGAATAGAGTAGCCCAGACATCCAACACCTGGCAGGACGAAGCAATAACACTAGTAAACACACCTGGGCAAGGACCTGTATTAAGGCGATCTGACGGAGGTAGGTGCTCTTGCCGCTCATGTTGGGTCCTGTTACCACCATCACGCTGTTCTCCGGGCTCAGGAACTGTCGGAGGAAGGGGAATAGTATGTGCACGTCTCACTAGCATGTCTTCTTTCTCTACCAGCTTTAGTGATGAGAGGAGGAGAGGGACGGGGTCGGGGGGGAGGGGAGACTATGTTTGAGAAGCTGAATCACAATGGGGAGAATATGTCCAGTGTATTGTTGTCATATAGGTAATTATTATACAGATATTAATTATAACACAAACATCATATTATAATCCATGCACTATAACAGACATCACATAAGACACACTGTTCTATAATTCGATCATTACATGTTCTCAGAGGCCATAGATTCAACTCATGTATTTCAAAGGGTCAGGATAAAATCGTTGTTTTGTTTTTTTAAGTTTAATATATTAATTTTTATCTTTTTTTTAACTATACGTGGGTTTAGGATGCAATACTTCACATGTTGGTCCCTTAAGCGACAGAACGAAGCGGATTATATTGAGGATCAGTGGAAGTTTGTTGTTGAAGTTTCCTGTCGAGGGAGGGACTTGACGACCAAATTTCCCCCGAGAGATTTTCCCTAACTCGAGCTGTCTCCTTCCTCCACACACACACACACACACACATACACACACACACACACACACACACATACATTGTAAATACCCTTATCGCTTCTTTTACTGACACCACCATTACCACCACTATTGTCACCACTATCATCACTAACACTTACTACTACTACCTACTACTACTACTACTACTACTTTTTTTTTTTTTTTTTTTTTTTAAAACGTGGCCTCCAGCCTCCCCCAATAGCCACACCTTCGCCACCATTTATTTACCTTAATATTAAATATCCTAATACATAAGCAACTATCCTATCTGTGTTAAATTAGTTGAGCCGCAGATCGATGCGGCATTCGGTGACTGTAGCCTCATAGTCGATATCTGCAGCAGTTGACGGAGTAGGGGCAGAAGCTCTCGTTCCCCTGAGGCAGAGCAAAGCCGACCGAAGGAGAGAGAAGGACAGTCGACATCTCATCCAGGCTGTGACATAACTTCTGGGCTGCTGCTTCTGTTCGGAGATCAGCTCCGCGAGTCTGGCGTAGAAACATCTTGCGCTTGGGCCCATCCCACCAGAGGTTGTGAACACTAGCGGAGTGAAGCTGCCTTGATCGACATTTTGAATTCTCTCCCCATATGCCCTTCTCTTGTCGTTCTCGTTCCTCCTATGTGCAGCATCGAGAGCTAGGTTACGGTGACAAACGGCCATGGGATCAAAAATCCTGATGTCGAAGAAGGCTCGCTGTCCCCGCGTCCAGAATCCTCGAGCACTGACGTCCACACGGGCTTCGTTAGATGTGTTTGAAGTCCTGTGTTGGAGGATCTCGCCATCCAGTGGAAGGAGGGTCGGTTCTACCATGACGTCCCGGCAGGTTTCCTTCAACATATTTGCTGTGAGATCCCTTACCTCGTCATGCCTCATGCATATGAAGCCCCCCTTCTTGCAAACCATGGCGTGATCGCCATCATAGGAATAGCCACACACGCATTGGGAGGGCAAACCATCTACTGGCCAACCGTACCTTAGAGCAATGGCATCTGTAAATTCTTGTTTGTTAAGGCTGAAACCATTTGCCCTTATCGGTAACGTAGTTAACCAGTTCGAGGCGCCCACCTCCTGCGCTATAGCTACTTTTTTTGTCAATTTTCTGGAACCTGCAGCAATAGTTGCTGCAACATGTCATTTTGGCAGTGCTGCCGATCTGTTGTAATGGATCTACGGATCTTATTAACTTCGCTGGTGTCCACTTCCCCTGTTGCATTCTGGGCTATTATGTGGTCAGTGAGGGCTGCCGTGAGCTTAAGTGAATTTTGATGTTCAGAGTCAGCAATCTCCTCTGGATTAGTTAGTCCCATCCCTCCCAGTCTTGGTGGAAGTGCAAGAAGTGTTCTTTCTACTGGGGTAAAGTCGTGGTGTTTCACTAGTTTGGGAATGAACTTGACACTGATTGCTTCTTCCAAAGGGTGGAGGAGGGGTCGGATCTCAGGGATGGTACGCATCAGGTAGTTCCAACGATGCTTGACTCCATGTGTGAATGCTGCAAAGGCCGCATGTGGCTCTGTGTTAGCAATCTCCGATAGAGCATGGATTTCGCTAACCCACTCGTTCACCTTTCCCCCTACGTACTGGGTCTTGAAGTCCGTGGTGCCAATTACTGCGCCTAGATGTCTTTGGCCGTCCTTAGTTATTTTGACCTCACTTTCGCCGAAAACCTCCACAGCCCGATCATAATGATCTGGCTTCACGATGAGGAAGGATTTGCTGGCGTTTGGGTGGTACCCTATTTGTGGACCTCGCGATGTTACCAGGTCCCACCACTTTTTGATGTCCTCCACTTTTCCTGCTCCTGTGAGGTCATCAGCATATGCCACTTGTTTGACCCCAGTTGTTTCATACTTTATTGCTTGTTGGAGCACTGATAGGCCTATTGCATACATTGCCATTGCAACGGGGTCTCCCTGTGTTGTTCCCTCGGTCGACTGTAGGATGGTATCACCTCGTAGAGCCTTGTTGTTTACTACGTAGAGGTCTGAAGGATTCCTATACGAATTTTCAACATACATCGCAAAGCTAGGACACTTGATCTTGATGTTGTGCAGTGCCGCCTTGCGGTTAAGTATGTTGAATGCGTTTGAAGCATCCACCCGGAGAACGGCCTCACAATCACGCTGCTCAAATATCAATCTCATGGCGTGAATGGCCGCCTCCCCACCAGCCTGGTGGCCAGCACACACTTGTAGGTTCCCTGCTGCTGCCCTGACATCATCCTTTACCACCTCCATTATGCACTTTCCGATGATCCGCCTCAGCACTTCCCCCACCCCTATAGGTCTACATCCTGGTTTCTTTTCCAGAGGAATAAGGCGGCAGGCCGTCAAGGCCTGGAGGTGATGGCAGCAAGAGGATGCAAGCTTTCTTGCAAGGGTGGCAATGGCAGTGCAGAGATCGCTTGCTACAGGGCCAAACTTGTTTGTGCTGAGGATGACTCTCCAACCGTTTGCATCCAGACCTGAAGGGCCGGCTCCGCCTCGAGTCTTCAGTGCCTTTTTCCACACCATCTCTCCTGTTATTTTCTCGAACAGGACAGCGTTTGGTGGGATATAAGCACCCTGGAGCCTGATGCCTTCATCTTCGCTTGCAGGGGGATGTTTCTCTTTCAATAGTTTTAATGTCGCTCTGTTTATTGGCATCACTCCACCGGAGGATTCATGTGTGAGAGATCTTACCGCGAGAGACACTTTTCCCACACGCATTTTGTTTCCAAATTGTCTTGCCACGTCATCGGTGTTTTGCTTTCCGTCACCCGTAGATTTTAGTCTCTCCTGCAGTGTTCTTGCTTCACATAGGAGATCATCTAGGGCCCCAGTCTGCCACATTGTCAACCTTCTCTTCATTGCTGCCACATTTTCTTTGTGCTTAGCCTTTGTGTGTGTCCTCTGACAAAATAGATGTGGTATTATTGCCAGTATTTGAAGAGCTAGGGGGGCGAGGAAGCGGTCCTGAGTGTAATCAGTCATGAAGTGAGTCATCTCCCGAATCATTTCTTTGGTGGCCGCACACTTGGGTGGTTCAAATAAGTTAGCGGGCGACCACTTGACAATTTCTGAGTAGGTTTCTTTGACCCATACGCCTGCATTTTCCATCGACATGCCATTCCACTGAGGCGGCTGTCTCTCATTCTCCTCGTGGACACCTGCTACTGAGGGAGCAGCATTTATTAGTACTACATTATCGGGTTGAGTAGACTCACTGCTATCATTTCGGATATCATCGGGTAGTTGGGTCCCGGCGATATCCACTGTGGCCACCTGTGTCGGCTCCCTGCGACGTGGGTTCCGACACTGGTCTAGCTTCCTGCAATTCACACATGGTCGGTTATTTCTCGCACAAACACAATTTGTGCAGTTTTGGTTCGGGCTAGCACAGACGCAGCAAGGAATGTTACCAGGCATAGTGACCAGCACCTTGGGCGACGGTAACGTCCGCCTCCGGACATCTGATTTGGTCCCAGGCACAAGATTATACTGGTTCTTATGACAACATCACTACCACCCTACACCACTGATACCACCACCACTGACTCTACCACCACCACTGACACTACCACCACCACTACTGACACCACCACCACCACCACCACCACTACTACTACTACTACTCACTGTATTGTTAGGGACGGGAGGTTTGATGGCCAGTACGTCAAGGATGGGATGCCTGCCGTTACGGATAGCCAGGGCGTGAGAGAACTCAGGCCTAACCCAAGTCCCAAGGGCGGCAGCATGAGCCAGAGCAACCAACAGGTCGAGCGTAGCCACCGCCTCCCCCAGCCCGTGTAGCGCCCCCATGCGGCCACGAGCCTCAACCAGCATTTCCAACACGATCCTGCAATTCACATTATAAATATCTCGTGTTGATTTATATTGAGATTTTTACCTGTCAGGGTTTTTATATTGTACTTTTAGCAGGGTTTTTATTTTCTTCATACTGTAGTTTATCTGTTAGGTTAGGTTCGTTTGTTGGGAAGATTAGGTTAGGTTAGGTTCTGTCAGGTAAGGTTAGGTTAAGTTCGTCTGCCAGGGTAGGTTTGGTTCGGTTAGTCTGCCAGGGTAGGTTAGGTTAACTTAGAATCGTCTGTCAGGGGAGGTTAGCTTAGTTTAGACTCGTCTGCCAGGGAAGGCTAAGCAGATCCGCTCTGCCAGGATAGGTGAGATTAGCCTGTCTGCCACGTATTCGTAAGGGGTTAGGTTAATCCTAGAATCGTCTGTCAGAGGCTAGGTTAAGCCTGTGGCAGGGAAGGCAAGGCTCCGTCTGGCAGGGAAGGATAGGTTAAGTTCGTGTGGCAGGGAAGGTGCGACATGGAGTGGAAGAAATGAAGGGTGGAAAGTAGCGACAGATGAGAGAAAGAATAATAGATGGGAGCAATAAAATCACTGAGCTGTTTAATGAAATTGGTTTTAGGGAAACTCAGACCTAGATAATTGCTTTCATGATGAGGTTCGGTATATCATGAGACAGACAGGAAGACAAGCAGAAAGACAGAAAGACATATAGAAAGACAGGCAGAGACAGACAGACAGACAGACAAAAAGACAGAGAGAAAAAACAGACAGACAAACAAGGGCAGAGGAAAAAACTAACCTAACCTAACCTGATCTGGATAAATAAAGGGCAGTTATTTATCCAACAACAGTAACAATAATAACAACAATATCAACAGCAATAACAACAACAATAATAATAATAAGTAAAACAATGATAATAATGATACTGATAACAACAACAACAACAATAATAATAATAATAATAATAATAATAATAATAATAATAATAATAATAATAATATAACTAATTACAGGTAAACTTTAGATTATATGGGTTATAGTTTACACTTAATCGGCCTTCAATAATGTGGATTAATTCTCTTTGGGCGTCGAGGTGTCCAAAACAATTAATTATGAGTATGAGTCACTCACACGTTACTCATGATGAGGATCTCTCTCAGTGTGTCCCGGGAGCGTTGGTCCAGCTGGTACAGGTGTTCCGTGGTACAGGTGATACAGCCTCGACCACGCTGTATCTGTAACGTAACAACAACACTAGCAGTTTACACCTTAGATAGAAAAGATTACTAGATAAAACCTAACCTAACCTCTCCTAACCTATTCTAGCCTAACCTAACCTAACCTAACCTAACCTAACCTCTCCTAACCTAACCTCTCCTAACCTAACCTAACCTAACCTAACCTAACCTAACCTCTCCTAACCTATTCTAGCCTAACCTAACCTAACCTAACCTCTCCTAACCTATTCTAGCCTAACCTAATCCAATAGCATCTCCAAACCAACAGACAGACAGACAGATATTTCACCTATAGATCTGTATATACTTGACGAATTTCCTTCAAGTTAGTACAAAATAAACAAAAGAGTTATGTGATGCAAACAAAGATGGCTTATACACACAGACAATAGTTCCGGGTCACGGTCTGATTGAGTAGGCTGTTGCTATCGGGTTTCTCTGCAGGGAGTTAGGTAAGGGAAGCCCGCCATACACACACCCGTTACTGGTTTTAATCAACAAGGCTGGATGGATGACAAGTTTCTTACGACAGGGAATCATACCCACCGCAGTGTTTGAGTGTGTGTGTCGAGGTTGATTTACAGGTTAGGTGAGAAACGTCTTGGGTGAAAAATACGATTGATTTCAGAATATATTTGGATGAGAGCGACAATCTTTATGGTAAAGTTAAGAAATAAATTCATAAACTAGGAAGGGTCGGGAATTAAGAGGACAACAATTTAGATTAGGGAGGAATGTTGTAGAAACTAGGGGAAACTTTGGTCACTCGGTCTGTCTGTTCCTCCCCAGCAGGTGTTAATGAGATGACGAAACCTCTCCAGGTGTACGGGAAGGTTCTGGCACAGGGGAAAATTATTCTAGAGAGTCATTACAGGAAGTTATTAAGGTGTAAGACAGGTTTAATTACTTTACACTGGATATAATTGAAGGAGAGTTACCCGTATAAACTGGACGAAATGTTACCTGCCCCCCAAATGATATCATGTTCGATCTTTTAATAATTTTAAATACTAATGAATATTCTATGATTCCCCTTAACTAATATATGCCTCATCTTAACATTATTATAATACATTTACACAAACTACGAGACACGAGGAGAGGAGAGGAGAGGAGTGGAGTGGGGAGGAGAGGAGAGGAGAGGAGAGGAGTGGAGTGGGGAGGAGAGGAGAGGAGAGGAGAGGAGTGGGGAGGAGAGGAGACTGATGACAACATTCCTCTTACCTGTATGAAAACGCTGTCAAGGCGAGGCGGTTGTGTTTTCTTCTTGACGGGAATGGTGATGTGAAAACCCCTGGCAGCGTTATGGCCGACCCTCACATACACCCCGTGTTCCCTGCCCGCAGTCTCCACGTGTTCTGTGTGGTATAAATAATGACCTTCTCACTTCAACGCCACATACACGGGGTGATTCACTCGCTGGCAGCCTCCTCAGACTGTCGTAAATAGAATCTTTATTTCTGAGATAATAAGCAGGAGACAGACAGACAGACATAGAGACAGACACAGACAGACAGACATAGAGACAGACACAGACAGACAAACAGACAGAATTTACAATACAACATCCATTATTCACGAGTCCCCCCCCCCCAGTACTATCCCTGTCTTGCACACCTGTACACCTTAATGAGTCCTACCTGTTCTCCTCACCTGTCTCCTTATCCTCCACGGGTCACACCTGTCTTTAACCCCTTCCTTCATCACTACTTCTCAAACTCACTTGCCACGCCCTATAAACCTCTCCACCTCACCTGCCACGCACCTATAACCTCTCCACCTCACCTGCCACGCACCTATAACCTCTCTACCTCACCTGCCACGCACCTATAACCTCTCTACCTCACTTGCCACGCCCTATAACCTCTCTACCTCACTTGCCACGCCCTATAACCTCTCCACCTCACCTGTAATATCGTCGATTATCTCTGAGTAGATCTTGCGGGCGACATCGAGTAGGCCGTTGACGTGGCTCTTGATGGCGTAGCAGCGCTGAGTCCTCATAGCGGCGGCGCCCTTCACCATCCGGGCGTCCTCGTGTACCACCTCTCTCAGTACCCCCAGTAGCTCCTCCAGCACCGTACTGCTCACGCCCTACACCACCACAACAGATCAATAATAGAAACAATAAATCAGCTACAACATCAATCAACAATAACCAAATCAACAACAACAAATCAACTAAATTAACAACATGTCAACAATAACCAACAACAAATCATCTACAACAAATCAACAATAATAACAAATCAAGTATCATCTTATATACGTGTAGGAAAATATATACCCGTTGTTGAAAGATTCCGGGCAATAACACAACCCGTATATAATTATTCTCCGTATAGCATTACTATTTTTTGGTATGACTCCTGGCAATAAGACTCAATCATCAGGTTCTATTATCATCTTAAACATGACAGCTAATGTGAGATATAAGGCTCCTATGAGTCTCTGTTCAGTGATGGATTCAGACACATTCCAGAGTTTTCTTTCATCTTTACCAAATATACAAACTCTTTCTTTCTCTTATTTTGGATTTTCTTTTGCTCATTCTGGTTTCCATGAGATTTATTTTCTCTTTGAAGTGTTATCCAAAGACATACATACATACATACATACATACACGCATTCATTCATAGAGACAGACTACAACTTCCACTTTGCTATCACTCAGAATCGTGTATGACGATCATCCAGCCATGATATAATGATATGAGTTATTAAGGATGTCACCTTCGTGGGTGAGCTCTGAGGTGACTAAAGAGGCCGATACGGGACCGGCAGGGTCGATCACAGATGTTGCACATGTGGGGGGCTACATCTAGTGCGGGAGGGGCGGTGGCAGCATCTTTCCGGCGTTGGCGCTTGTCTGCCTCGGTATGCAGTCGGGCTAACTCAAAAGTATAGACACCTTCTCTTGTGGTGCTCCTCCAAGCGTTACGGTGTGGAGTAATCGTCTCCCAGGTGAGGGGGTCGATTTGGCACTTTTTCAGGTTTGTCTTAAGACTATCCTTATACCTCTTCAGTTGCCCGCCACCGTTACGTTTACTATTCGTTAGGTGACTGTAAAGTAGCTGCTTTGGCAATCTACTGTCGTCCATGCGAGTAACATGACCATTCCAACGTAGTTGTTCACACACACACACACACACACACTATCACCCCCTTCTCTCCAATCAGCAAACTTTCCCCCTCAAAAAATTCTTCAATCCTTCATCATAAACACATATTACAGAACATCCACCAGTCCTGTACCACGCATGTATTACTCTAACTGTAGTACATACTTTTGTTGAGGATACAGTACCACCGTCAGGCCACAGCACTAACCCTCCCACACCACATCATACTATATACACAAGGACTTCAATACTCATACAAGTATACACGCTTCACCCAATGTAATCTACAGTACTCCATATTGTAGGCTTATATATTATTAATGTCTTGCTGATTGTCTGCTCTTGAGTTAAATCCCGGGCTGTTTCTCTCCCTGTCTCTCTTTCTCTCTTCCTGTCTCTTTTTTAATCTCTCTCTCTCTCTGTTGTTATTATTATTATTAAACTCTAATTACTGCTGTTGGATTACAGTCTCTCTCAAGTCTCAACCATGGTATGAAAAAGCTAATATAATGAGACATATTTGAGGGCTAGAGATTAATTATTTTCAAAAAATCTCTCGAGAGTTTAATTAATCTCTGTCGCGTCTTTAATACACGTCTCATTAGGCACACCTTTTCGGACTGAACTGTTGGTGGCACCGGTGGGAAAGAGATCACCTTAGTTTATTGTTATTTTAATATATTTACTTGGGGGGGGGAGGTATTTTTAGTCATATTATCAAAAACTTACTGTGGTTAGTTAACTCCCCGTGAACGACTTTATTCATAGGTAAACAAAAATAGGGTTTTGTTTTTAGATCAGTAAAAATAAATAATTTGAGGTCATGGGTGATGGTAGGTGTTGGTGGGTGGGTGATTGGTGATTGATGATGGTGATGGGTGATAGTGGTGGTGGTGGTTGTTTGTGATGAGTTATGGTGATTGGTAATGCTAATGGGTGACGGGTGATGGTTGAGAAGGAGGAAGAAGTGTTGTGACTCATCCACCTCCTCCCAACCCAACCTACCTCCTTGATAGTGAGCAGCAGAGGGTCAGTCACATCGTGGAGAGCCTTAGCCAGGGGGTCTACCAACTCCAGGGTGTTCTTCATGGATATCACGTAGTTGAGGCGGAGCTCACAACGCTGTTCCGTATCCTGTGCAAATTCCATAAAGGTTTCTGATGTAGCAATTTTTATTCCTTGGGACATAAACACAAGAATTGATTTTTGGTACAGTCCACAGATACAGTAATTGATTTCTGGTACAGTTCACAGGTGTAGTAATTGATTTCTGTTACAGTCCACAGGTACAGTAATTGACTTCTGTTACAGTCCACAGGTACAGTAATTGATTTTTTGGTATAGTGCACAAGTACAGTAATTCCCCCTTGGTAGTGAGTTACAAGGCATAATAAAAAGTCCAGATACAAATACAGTTTAGGGAGTCGTTCTTGCACACACTCAAATCACAAATTAAAGGTGGGGGGGGGGGTCAAACTAAGGCTAGGAAAGGGGTTGTAAATTATAACTTCTATTCATTCTATACAACTACGGAAAAAATAGTGACTTTTCTTACTTCTTTGGGCACCTGGACACACATGGAGAGTAGCCAGTCTATATCAGGGAACCGCCCAAGGATCGACTGAAAGAAACACACTGCTCTTACACAAACACCTCACATGACTGTCACTGTATACCGGCTAACAAGTACCTCGGGTTTTGACTATTTGAAACCCAATCAGTGGATAGTGAGACACCTTCAATTCAGTAATGATAAGTTGATATCATGTGTTATATTCTAACCTTATGTAAGAGGATGTTTGATAAGTCTTTAGGGAAGTAGAGACCCTATTCGAAAATATTCACAGGTGTCTGAAGTATACCTATTGGAAACGTGCTATCAACTGAATGGGAAACATATCGAACAATTGACACTTGGTTCCGAAATTGTACTGTTTTTATTGGTAAATATTACTAAATTATTATCACTGGGTTATTTTTTAAAAGAGTTTACAGTCGTTTATTGGTGATTAAGAACAATTAACTCATCTTTGAAGTTACCTGGAGAGTGTAGAAGAGGTCGGGGTGCTCCACTAGGTACTGGAGGGTGTCGAGGCGGGAGGCAATGATGGAAGCATCGGCGTAAGGCTGTGTTGTTAGGCCGAGATGGTGGTTGTGGTGTTGGTGAGCGTCCAGGGATGCTAAGAAGAGAGGGAGAGAGGAAGGGGGAATGGAGAAGAGGAGATGGAAGAAAAAAGAGTGATAACAGTAGCAGCCAGAAACACGAAAGAGACGATAAAAGAGAGGGGAGAAAATAAAGATCAGGAGGAAGAGGGAGAGAGAACACACACGTTAGCCTTCAAGATATGGGTATAGTTCACGAGTGCCTATAAGAGCCCCCCCTGGACCCGCTGTCGATACCAGACTACGTTTCATCTAGCATCAACGTGCTTGATGTGAGAGGATAATATCGTGGGTGATGTGGCGGTAGATAACATTATCCTTCAACTCCATAAAGGAGGCACAGAACGGGCCTTGAGGAGGTGCCTGAAGGAGAGGTACTGGGTGGGTGGCTGGCTGAGAGGCTGGGTGGGTGGGTAGGTAGGTTGGGTAAGAGGCATGTCAACACCAGGGAGTTTTTCTTATCATCGGTACAAGTAAACTATCTAGATCAGCATACTAAGAACTTAAAAGTAGGTTAGTGGCTTATGGAAAGACTTCGAAGACCAGGTACTTATCACTTTACGTCATTACTACAAAATAAGTTATCTTAATGGCTTATTGAAGTAATGTAATTATGTTTTCTAAGTAAAAGGTGTAAATGATGTTCTTGTTTTATCTCCTTATCTTGTATTAGTAATGTATTCACCTCAGTAGCTCATAATATAAGCATTACAAGTTGGTTATTTCAGTGACCACTATCAGAATAAAGAACTTGTATCAACTGGTTAAGTAAGTTCTACAAGTACTGCACAGGTTCTCAGTAAAACATGTTGGAAAGATAGAGTTTACCTGCAGAAGGAGAGAGAGTTTACCTATAGGCTGAAGAGAGAATATAACTTTAGGAGCAGAGTTTACCTGTAAAGAGAGAGAGAGTTTACCTGTAGTAGGAGAGAGATTACCTACAGATAGAGTTTACCTGAAGAAAGAGAGTTTACCAACAGAAGGAGAGAGATTACCTTGAGAGAGAGAGAGAGAGAGAGAGAGAAGAGAGAGAGAGAGAGTTTACGTGAAAGAACTGAGGGAGTTAATTACTGTACCTGCAGAAGGGAAGCCCTGAGGAGCCTGGTGCCTCCCGGTGTGCGCGTGTGCCTGAGGGCCCCAAAGAGAGACTCCTCCCACCCTCCTCGTAGGCTCCTCACCAGCTCCAGCTTACGACACGACCAGTATTCTGACCAAGTGATGGTAACAAGTCAATGCTTACGCACACACACACACACACACACACACACACACACACACACACACACACACACACACACACACACACACACACACACACACACACACACACACACACACACATGTACGTCATTGAGGCAAGACAATAAAGCTGTGAGAGGGAAGTAGAGAAGCAGAGAAGGTCATGAAGACTTACGAATGGGAGGAGGTGAGAGAGAGAGAGAGAGAAAGAGAGAGAGAGAGAGAGAGAGAGAGAGCTACCTACCGATACTCATCGAGTTCTCTGAGGAGGTGAGAGAGACGAGGAGGCTGTGGGGGGCGTAGGTGACGTGTTGGATATGTTCGACGTACTTCATGACAGCTGCCACCGACGCCAGGCAGTAGTACCTGTAAACAATGATGAGGTGTGTTGTTACTTCAGGCGTCACCACGATCATACTCCTCTCTCTCTCTCCTTACTACTGTTATTACTTTCTTCCTACAGTTATCACCCCCTTTCTTCTGCTGTAGTCAATTCTTTCTCTCTCCTTTAGTGATGCTGAAAACTGGTCATAATCTACGCTCTTCTCGTTGTTTCTCTTCATTTCCTTAACACACACACACACACACACACACACACACACACACACACACACACACACACACACACACACACACACACACACACACACACACACACACTCTCACTTTGTGGCGACGTGTCTCTCGACGTAAGCACAGTGAGGAGCAGCCAGGTGCTTGACGATGGCCAAGCCGCGGGTGTCGTTGAAGTAGCGACGATGGACGGCGGTAACAGAGACCCCTGGGATACTCTCCTGCACCACCTTCACCAGACCACCACCTCCACTACCACGTTCACACTCTAGTCTTACCGCTGTCGTCGCTACTATGATCTGTAAATGTTAAATAACGTCTCAGAATACAGGATACTGTATGCCTTTCAACACACAACAATATCATCACTCATAAGAATACGTTTTGACAAGATCTGTTATAGATTAGCAAAACCTCAACAACTATGTGTGTGTGTGTGTGTGTGTGTGTGTGTGTGTGTGTGTGTGTGTGTGTGTGTGTGTGTGTGTGTGCCGTGATCATTGATATACAGTAGATTACAAATACATAAATATATCTACACGATAATATAACACTACCAATCATCACATACACAAGTAAACACAAATACAAAAGTTCTGAGTTTTATCTTCACTGGAATGGCGAAGATAATAACAGTGATCAGATCTCAGGGGTAGTGAGGATAGGTTGTGGATGATGAACTTGGAAAAGGTGTGGGTTGTGGGTCTGGTGTGGGTATGTGGGTAGGGTGTGGATATGTGGGTAGGTTTTGGGTGTGGGTGTGGACGAGATGAGATAAAAGCAAGAGCGTGGATGTAGGTGTTAATGTGGTGAGGAAAGACAGTGTAAGGTGTGGGTGGTAACTGACCTCGAGTGGGTTAAGAATGGAGAGCTTGGTGATGGTGCGGGTGTAGGTGTGTGTGTCGGAGAACTGTGCCAGGGAGAGTTGTGGGCAACGCAGGTCGATGGCAGCCACGCCTACCTCCCTACGAGCCTGCCCGCGACCCTCCACCACCGCTGTAAAAGACAACATAGCGTATACTTGTACATGTTACCAAGTAGTGTATGATAATGATTCCATGTTTAAGCTGTGGACGTACAAGTTAGGTTAAATAGGCGTAAGAAATGCCCAGGACCAAGAGTATTAGTTAAAATAAATGGACAGCAAGGGGATACATTAGCCCTTGTGTGCGGTCTTCATATTTAGTGTTTTCCGAACTGTGGGAAGATTTTTTGAAAATTATTTGTTATTACAGAAACAGGTGCTGGACGTTAGTTTTTTGTTTTTCTTGGACCAATGTTTTAAGTTTCCACGTGAAGAGCAGCTAGGGCGTTTATTTATAAATGGCGGCTTAGAATACGGCAATAATTCATTTAAAAAAGGTAACACAAACCAACAAACCTAACCTAAGGTCGTTAAGTTAGGTTAGGTTGGCTCGTGACATCGCTCATATACAAGTATGGGTTAATGCCGTAGGCTCGCGGGGCACGGTGCATCACTCGTTTATTAAACCTAATTCTAAGGGAAGTTCACACGGTTTTGCTTGCCATCTGTTTCTGTAGTATGGAAAAAAATGCACATCAGGTTTGAAAGATGCTAGGGTAGACACTCAGAGCCCGGGTAGTTAAATAATTCCAAGAAACGTCCCATTTTAAGACCACAGACACATGACTTCACAGTGGATGACAGTGTCTATATCCCTGAAGGGCCATGTATCCTACTGTTGGCTAAACTAGGATGGGGAAGGCTCCTACAATAAATCACTCCAGGGTGACATACAGCACCTCCTTACCCACAATAGCAGAAGGAGGGAGTTCCTGAGCAGATCGTGGTGTCCTGCTGGCTGCTGACCCCGGCGTCCTGGTTCTACCTGACCCAGGAGTCTTAGAGCGCCCTGAGCCTGAAGTCTTGGAAGGTCCTGAGCCGGGAGTCCTCATACGATTCGAGGCAGGGGTCCTGTTGCTACTACTTGAGGCAGACGTCCTTACCTTGCTGGTGGTAGCTGAGGAAAGTGTAGTGGTGCTGGTGGAGATGAAAGGATCTGGAGGCTGGCGATAAGACCTGGCACCCCGTCTACTGCTAGAAGCCCAGCTCTCTGATGTCTTAGAGAGGAGGCTCAAGTTTCGCATCCCAGTCACATCTTTGCTTAACCCATCTTTGTTTCTGGCCACCTCCATACTGCTAATGCTCTCAGTAGATGACTCTCCTCCTCCTCTTCCGGCCCCTGCTGCTGTTGTGTTCCGGGTCTGGCGGGTATCTAAGGAGGAGTCCGTGGCCACTGTCGAAGCCACGCGAGCAAGGAGGGGCGGGACGCGAGTAGAGAAGGGCGTGGAGTGTACCGGGACATTTTCACTGGGAATGCTGAGGATAGTGAGTACTTGGTGTTAGTTACTCGCTTACCGGAACAAGGAGGAATGGGAGAAGAAAGGGAACTAAGAAAATAAGATGAGAAGATGTAGGTTGTAGTCAGAAGAGATAGAGGAAGGAGAGGAATGATAAAAAGCATAAAGGCAGAACAATTATTACACGAGAGACTGTTTTAATGTAAAACAAGTGATTACATGAAACTACAAGATTCATATCACATGTTCCTTTTTATTTTATTATTTACTGTATTTTAAATTAATTCATTAAAAACTAGAAATTATTATGAAACCGCACGTGGAAAATAATTAGACTAGGATATTTTCTTTTTAATTCATTTAACACCTGTGACCAGTTTCACTCCCACCTGAAGTTGGCAGCAGAGTGAACACTGAACCCACTTACTGTAAAACAACTATTGAACATATATTATAGTACACTGATTACTAAACCTCGGTAAACAATGAGGCTTTGTCACCGGCACTGCACACTATCCACTTCATTTCCCAAACTGTACAATAAAGTTTTAAGGTTTCCATACTTTGCTACAAGTTCCTAATTGGTAAACTATTGTATTTGTAAGTTTTCTGCAATGTTATGGTGGGACATGTATCGAGGATTTATCCGTATACTGGTCCTAACGTAGAGTAAGTTTCGTTCCTTACACAAATTAATCAGCGAAGAAAATAAGTCAATCGTAAACAAGTAAATCTCATGAGACACTAATGAAATAATGTAGAGGTTAAGATATCAATAAAACATAACTTAAGTTGCACCGTTGTTTATCGCCTCAGTCTATTAGAAGCTTTGAGATAGTGCCGAGTACTTTTTTAATATTTTTTTTTATTTCTGCGTTCTAGAATATGTATTTTACTACAGATCCTACACATGCAATATATAAATATATATTAGTATTTCGAGAACACCCCTCGAATAAAAGATAATGTGGTGAAGATTTAAAACACTGACCTGATATCGTCGTCAGTAGCACCAGTCAGCCCAAATACGTTAAGACTCCCGTAGCTCACACCTGCAATGTATTTTATTTATTTATTACCATTACAAGACATAATTTATCCACCGTTGACTTATTTTGCATTATAAATAACATATAAACACTAATAATTGAAAACTTTTATGCATCTCAGTATTTGGCTCTGCTAGGTGTATTAGTAAGTTATTTAGCTTCAGATAAAATAATTGCATTAAAACTATTCTGATTAACTTATTATAGTATTATTATATTGTAAATACTCGTATATCGACAAGAATATTAATAGTTACTCCCAGCCTAGTACTGTATGCAAATATATATTCTAAACTAACCATTTTAAGCTATGAATTAACCTGCTGTAGGTGTAACTGTATAACTTTAGTCATATATGAATGAAACTTAAATCCACTTTATATAATACAGTCTTATAAATACACTGGAATCCCCCCCCCCCACGCCCACAACCCGCCCGCGCCCACCACCCGCCCACCACCCACCCGCGCCCCCCTGCCTTGTATGAATTTAATTATATGTCATAGAAGATGGATTGTGAAATAATTATATAAACTTTTATATTGAAATTGATAACGCTTGGAATATGGGTTAAATAGTACTAAAGATCATTAGGAAATGATTAAGTTAATTTATGGAAAACGATTAGTCTAAAAAGTTGTTAAAATATACAATATGTTACTTACTAATCCCAGGGTCGTCAGCTGCCCAGTTTTCCTCACCGTTGTTACCATAAATATCTGCAAACAAATATTAAAAGAAAGAACTTTATCAAATGAACATAACAATACCTCATAGATAAAGTAGAAATATGCGTCTTAACATGTTAATTTCATCACCGACGTTTTACTAAATTGTTCGTATTTTTATTTATATATAATTAGTTTTAGTATATACATGGACATTTTACTAACTTACTGTATTTGGGTGTCTTTGCCTGGAAAAGAGGAACAAACGACATATTCAAGGTTTTTTAAATGGGATAATTAAGTTCCACCTAAAACACTGGTCCAATGTTCCCGCCTTCACACTCATGTCTGAATGAAATGTTTAATAGTAACTTGAAAATATAGTATGTATGTATTTTTTAATTGTATAACTCAAAATATTTATAAAGGGGATATAAATCAACATTACATAGAGAAAATGCCAATTTGTGGCTATTTATAACAGTTTCCGTCTTACATGAACGTTTAAGGAACATTCATAGAAAACGGAAGTTTATTAGATAGTAAACTCTTATAATCTAGACCAGCACATGACTTCAGTCTGGTTGTCAATTTATTTTTGCTCCAGAGACTGTTGTGCTTAGCCTGTACATAAGATAACCATTTATGGCAGAAGTAACGCTGCTTTTTTTTATTCAAACAATTAAAGTTAACTTATGTTGTCAGTTGTCACTCATTTACATCAAGTTATCTAATTAGAAAAATTTCATGATAATTATTACAGTTTACTTCTCGCATTTTGTTTTTATTTATTATATTTAGTAAAGCCGTAGAGTCCATTAGTTAGCTAATTTATCTTTATCCAGCCACAGTCAAATTAATTATTTAACCTAAATGGTGAGCACAGTACTGTGCAGTAGACTTAAAGGATCCTCCCTCGTAATTTATTTTCAAAATTTTATTTACACAATCTACCTCACTGACCAAGACAGATTAGAACGTCTTTTATTGTCTATTTATACTATAGAAGGGCAAGGGAGTATTTAGGTAAAGATTCTAAGAAACTACAGACGGGCAAGGGGGGACCTAGTTGAGGTGTATAAGCATCTCAGGGGGCACTACTCAGTTGAGTATCCTTACTTGGAGCTGGCGGACGCTTGCCCCACAAGGGGTCACAGCTCAAGATTGAAGAAGCCGCAAGTCCAGAAAACCGTGAGGGCAAACTTTTTCGGAGTGAGGGTTGTAAACTCTTGGAACAATCTACCAGAGAGTGTTGTGACGGCACCGAGTGTGAGCTCTTTCAAGACAAGACTTGACCAACACTGGAGTGGGTTCAGGTACATTCAGGAGCCGGTGCATGCCCAGTATTTGCCAACAGTGCATGACAGAGATGTGACCGATCGCCCGGGCGGCTAGCGAGCCGATCTTTTGGTGAAGAGGATAAATGAAAAGAAACGTGACCGATCGCTGCAAGTTACAGCCTCAAGTTAGAAAATCTGCCAGTGCAGAAAACAATTAGAGCTAACTTGTCTGGAGTAAGTTATGAACCCTTGGAATAACCTGCCAGAGAGTAAAGACAGCAAAATTAATCAGCACTGCAATATTTTCAGACTCATTCAAGAGCTTGTATGTACCCAGTACTTGATAAAAGTGAACCACAATGAACATATCAATTGCCCAACTTGCTAGTAAGCTGACGAGTAGCGAAGAGGATAAAATGCTGTATTGTATCTCTAATAGAAAGAAGAATTAATTTTCCATTACTGGGTTTCCTTACACCTAATGGCTAATGGTAACATAGACTATTACTTGATCACCTTGAGTTTTGGACTTGGTCACTGTAAACAGATCCACTACACTCTGCTATACTGTCAAACCTTGGCTTGACCACTAAAAATACAAAATTTTCGTTATAGTTGAGGTAAATATGAAAACAACAAAAAAACAACTTTGGCTGGTCCTCTAAACATATAAATCTTGTAGTTTTAGTCAAAGTAAATACTCCATATAAGAAATAAAATAAAAAACATCGCATGGACCCTCCATCAGGGCGGATCCAGGAATATAAAAAAATGGGGGGGTCCAAGAAGTTGTGATGGGGGAACATGCATGGCAAGCACAGCGAGCCCATCAGAATTTTTTTGGAAATCTGACCAATATCATGGGCATTTTGAGGCCATTTTGAAGCCATGTGCACTGGTGTACTCGGAGATATTATGAGGTCTATCGTAATTACTTTTTACTATACAAAAATGCCTGAGTACAATACTGCATTAAAGAAAAAGTACTATTGGAATTTTCTGATGGAAACGGAGTGTCTGGATTCCAGGACCCCCCTTAATCCGCCCCTGTCCATTGATCTATACTGTCCAGTGTTTATGATTCCTATACTATACCATGGTGTTCAATATACAGTTTCCTCATCTGATTCCTAAATGATATAAACAACTACTGAGTTCAGTGTATAACAGGAGAATAATTCACACTAATTATTATATAATATATTTTGACTGCATATACACAGTGGATTTTTATTAATACATGTGAGTACAGTACAATACATCCTTTCTTCCACACTTGTATTTAACTGAATCATTTATATACAACATTTGATTCTTTGGTCCCACCAAAGATAACACAATATATAGTACACAATAAATGATAAAATATTAAGAGGCAATAAGGCCATGTAAACACAACATCAATACACTGTATAAGAAATTGTATACTGTACAGTAAATGATCTTTTAAATTGAACAGATTATCTAGGAATGCACAAAGTAATTATAATCTACATTTCCTGAATTTATTTTGAGTGTTTACCTTTAAGTTGTTGAGAGACATCTTGTGTATAGGCAACTGATGTACTGTATAATATATGTTAACCCCTTGTATACAGGGACCTCTCTGTGCTGAATAAAATCATCCGACATTAACCAAATATAATGTTAAAAGTGGCGTCCCTGTAGTGAAGGTTTAATGGAGTACAAGTTAATTTACACTATGCCACACAGTACAGTATATGTTATCAAAGAAATAATATGTGTTGCATACAAGAGTTACAACATCACAACAAACTTGCAACACTTGAGTTAAATGCTAAGGATCACAGTGTAGTCAAAATATGCAAATCCTGTAGATAATAACATTTTCTAATAAATAAACAAAGGGTTTCTTTTTTCATGCAGCTGTATAATGAAAATATACATCAATATGTGTTTGAATGATAAATATATAGTCCTTAGAGAGTGACCATGAACATTACATTTCAACTCCTCCTTCCCAGTGCCTGTACTGTATTGCTCTACCTGTTAGGACACAAAGATAAACAAACTGGAGCTATGCCACCTGTAGATTTCATTAATATATTATATAAAAAAATAAATGTCAGATTTTTTCACATGGTACACAAGACTGGTAGGCTGAGGCACGTATTGTTAAGTCCTACTCAGTATCACAGTTGCCACCGATCAAAGCCCTGCAAAGGAAGAGGTGGAGACTGTTTTATGTGGATATCAATTATTTGGATTATTTTTCAGGTGTGACCTATGTATGGGTATACCCAGTGCTTGCCTGGTCTCTCAGGAGAGCTCAGGTTCTCAACTGGCTCAGCCATGTTAATATTGATACAGTATTATTATCCACTCTGTATCTGTGTTTTTCTGGCTAGATAAACTGTTTCAATTCAATTCAATTCAACTAAGCAAAATGTTGATTGGTGTTCATTCTTGTTTAAGATGTGTGTGTGTGTGTGTGTGTGTACATATATACATCAGTACTGTTTATGTGTAGATAAATCATTCTAAAAGAAAAATAAATCAGAATTTTATTATGTGAAGTCATCCCAGCAAGTCCAAAGCATTCTACTCTCTTCAATTGTAAATTCAAGTAAATTAACAGCATTTTAATTTTGTAATTACAAGTAGCTACATTATTTAGTAATAACTATGGTATGGGTGCAGTACATATCAAACTACAGTAAAAGGCATTTTTATCAATCACTTTAGTGATAATAATTTAGGCAAAACTTGTGGTATGATCATTACCAAGTCATCGTACTTTACAATACTGTAATAATGTTTTCTTAGAAATAGGAAGTCTCTCCACATAAGCCTTTTATTCTATAGTTTGACTGTACTATACAGTATAATAATTTCACCTCCCTGAGTATAATAATTTCTTTACAGAATATGACTTGTAAAATTGCAAATTACGACACAGTACTGGGCATTGTTTTCTGTTCTCTTACCATAGTGTCCTAGAAAATTCAGAATTTCAATTTAGTTTACCATACAGTATCAAATAACCAAGTTAACAACTTTACTGGCATACCTCACTGTTTTGTGGGGTACAGTACCAGCCTCTATACAGGAAGGGTTAGGTTAGTAGCTGGACCTGACAATGATCAACTTTGGGGCTACACGTCACCAAGAAGAATTAACAAAATCGAGGAACCTTAATGTACTGTACCGTATTCAGCTCTGGTAACACTAGACAAGATGATGTAGCTTAGTTAAAACTTTGATCATAGATTATCTTTCAATAGAATAATTACATTTATACCTCTCACTCAAATGAACATTTATTTACCACCACGATAAAAATATTCACTATGTAAAAATACGATTTATGAAATTTAGAATACAGTTAACCCTCACTTTACGCGGTTAATGTAACCCGGAGGGTCCCGCGTAAAGTGAGAAACGCGTAAAGTGAATAACATAACATATGGGATTAATTGAAATGGAGTCCGGGCCGATCCCCAAACTCCACTTTTTGACGACACACAACTATGTTGTAGTAAAAATATTATCTTAACTTTATGATGGTATGCACACACAATTAATAATTAAGAGAAATATCAATAATATTAGGTTTTTTAACACTTACATTAGTAGAAAAAATGGCTGGGCACACGGGGATGGGCGGTTGGTTCCGAGGCAGAGGGCAGATTATTGGCCCTCACCTGTGTCACTTGTATCAATTGTATCACTATCCACCACAGAGGCTTGCAGGGCCTCTTTGTCAAACTCCCCAAAGTCCATATAAGTCCATATCCTCACCATAATTATCACTATCACTGACTTGGGCCGGCTGTGGTGGGTGGCGGGGAAGAACTGGTAATGTTTTGATGACTGGGCGACCTTGTGCGCACCATGTTCGCGCCGCTTACACAACATGGCGGATGGCGGGAGGTTTGGATCCAAAAATGGCGCGGCTCGCCAGCCGCTCTCCGCGTAAACGGGTACACGCACCGCGGAATGTGAGCATCCTGGGTTCCGGCAGGGCACCGCGTAAACGTGGAAACGCGGAATGTGGGACCGCGTAAAGTGAGGGTTGACTGTACATTAGTAATACGTTAAGCAGCATCTTATAGACGTAAAACACCAAGTTGTCTCTGATGTCAAGATAGCTCAGAGAAGAAATATTTGAGCAATGCCGTCTAAACTCATCAATAATAAGTCACAAAATTTCTATACCAACAGCACAGATGAGAGTGATCCATATATAAAAAGGTGTAGCAGAGAGACTTGATGATAGTACCACTGGACGTTGGAAAAGGTGAAGGTAATTTCATGATTAGCATTACAAACTTTAATCAAATTGCTTATATAGTTCCCTAAAATAGCCTCTTCGTAGACCATTACAAAAATATGAGTTATCTAAGCTTTACCTCATCCAAACAGTACAAACACTAGATCACACACATTGGTCTTATTATGTCCCCTGAGCAAGTCATGTTATAACACAAAAAATAAAACAAACTCTGAGACCCAATTAATGCAAGTTACCTGCACTCCAGAAAATATCTCTACGATTTTGTGTCAGACGATATGACATAATGGATAAAGAAAGATTTTGACAACCCAACCGAGACAAAGCGAGTCACTGTGTTCATTTTGAAGCTCATCGGACCCCTCCGTAAAGGTACTTTTTGGAGTTTGTGTACATTAATTTAACAAGAGGTCTAATTTCCTCATCTGGTTCGGGATCACGAGGGTAAAGTTCAGCCCTGATGCGTCTTTTGGCCGACTGTAATCTTAAATCAACGTATAAATTTTTTACTATATCATTAGTCTGGGTGAATTGAGTTTGTTTATAAGGCTTTGCAACTTCTACCTTCGTCTTTATCTCTACTCAGGAATGGTTGTTGATGGAGACAATATCAAAAATATTTCAAGATATAAATTCTGACTCCATAGTTACATATAATTCGACATAGTGGACAATAAATTAGTGACAAATTCTTGAATTTCTGATATTGTACTGTATTCAGAAATGAAGGAATGAGCAAGTTCTTCAATATATTTTCACTTAACAATGTGAAAGTAGTACAATGCAGAGTGGGAATGGAAGATGCTGTACTAATTCCACTATATACAGACCATGTCACTCAACATATACAAACAAAAGCATAAACATAAATACTAAACATCTGAAAATAAAAACGAATATACAAATAGAACCTCAGATCCAAATATTTAAACCTCATTTGGCACAAGTACAATATAATGAATGTACATTGTATTATATATATATATATATATATATATATATATATATATATATATATATATATATATATATATATATATATATATATATATATATATATATATATATATATATATATATATATATATATATATGAGTTCGTACAAGTTTTATTACCCGCAAGAAACTATTGGTACTTGTACAGAGGCATTTTTTTTATTTGATAAACCTAAATGATCATTATATTTTAGGACATGCAATAAATAGGAACTTAAATAACAGTAGCAGTAAAGACTGATCATATCATTGCAAGGAACTTTTAATCCTATTGATTTTTAGGATCCTGTTTATTGCTTAACCTCATAAATACTACACTGTACACTGTAGTAAATAACAGACCCATGAGCCCTTAGGATGAATCTGTGTCTCATTGACTGGGAGTCCCGAGTGTAGCCAACTGGGCAATGGAACTCGAGAGACATGCATAATACAGTGAAGTTATTAGTAATTTCTGATCACAGATTATAGTTAAAAATATCATCAAAGGTCCTTATAATCAGGATGAAGACTGAACATGAGACAAACCTCACACAAGACAATGAAGACCTTTTGTACGATATAAACCTTTAAATTTCCCAGTACGAGTTATAATAGTAGTAAATGAATGACACAGAAACAGACCTAAAAGTACGTATAACTCTACACCTGATATACACCGTAATACCCATTAAAAATAACTTCTAAATACACTCATACAGTAGAGTCAGTTCATATTTTATGGAGATTTTTCCCGTGCTTGGAATTATAGCCATCTACTGTACGTATTTCTTGTCAGTTCGTAATGTCAAGTAAACTCTATATACAGTTAAATAGACTTGTATGACACTCAAATACAAATTAAATCAGTAAGGGCCTTCCAGTACAATATAGCTTATGAAGTAGGTAGTTAAGTCCACAACACAACGGGAATGAATGTTAAATCTCTAGCAGGCACAAGCTCTTTACCTATTATGTATGTGCACTATTATAATTTTCACAAGTAATTTTCTAAATATGTTGCAGTGTTGATGGTGTGCAATATTTTGTCTGCCAAGATACACTACTTTCAAGACTATTAAGGAATGATCAAAATAGATAAAGGCCAAATCTTGACTACTGACAAGGCCTGTGAGACTAGATATAAAAGTAATGTTACATTGTATCTAATTTCTCTGCAGAGTGGCTGCAGGTCAAAAAAAATTCCACTAAACTCCATCAAATTCTTGTGAATAAGCATTAAACCTTACAAGAAATTGTTTTAATGCACTTTTGATATGTCTTTAGAATCACCTCATGTTTTAGTGACACCTTGATGTTTGTTTTACATTATTCCACGAACATTCATGCATGTTTAATTACTGTTAGACATGAGAATGCTTCATGGTAAAGTACTGTACTTACAGTACAGGATAAAAGTACAGTACATACAAAACCCAAATAAAAAATAATCCAATTGTCCATACTATCACTCTAACGCATTTCACTGAATATCTACAGATTTTCAGGTACATACTCTTATTTTCTAAGGCACTAAGTTAATGTTTACTGAACAAAAATGTACCGTACATGGTTCTAGTACATAAGAGGCGTACAGTACAGTATGAGAATGAACCATAACTTTAGTATATAATTATTAAACAATACCATGACTAACTTACATAAACTGATTGGTCTCACGTCAATCCATAAGTTTTCATGTTGATTTATACTTTACCATTGTCACTTTTTAGAATGACGACCCATCATCCTCTCCGTATGATAGTTTGATATGTTGAAATAATTGAACAGATGATTAATGTTTACGATTTTTCTAGTTTATTCTCCCTCACCATGAACCGTGGGTAAAGGCAAACAACTAGAAGACATTTATGTTAAAAAAAATTCTAAATACGTAACAATTTGTTCCAATTTGCAGAAGCTTTCACCAGAAATTTTAAATATGAAAACCACTTTAAATATTCAGAATCATCGTGACAACAAATATGGAGTGGAGTACAGTACAGTACCATTATTAATTCTATCGCCCAATGGTTAGTCAACGAGTAAATGATTTCCTTGGCTCTTGTAAGCAACGCTCGTGCTTTTCGCTTTCAAGATCATGGGCGTTACTATAATATGGTACAGTACATGGAAAATAAAAATAATTATTATTGTTAAAATATGACATTATTAATATGTTATTTAATTAATACACCAAACCATTCTTTAAATATTGGATGTCAGAAACAACATTGGTTAAAACAATGTTTAAAGTTGAACTAATACTTTTCCCTTCCCCTAACAGTATTTTTAATATACTGTACAGTATATATAAAATAGTCTCAACAAAAGAAATAGATCAGGGTATACAGTAAAGGTAACTCCTGTGTGGTTTACCCTTATTGTGTAACATTAAGATCCATGCATAGACATATTGGCTGAGTAAAATAAACATCAAAATCAATATTCACATGACACGTGCTCGATAAAATTTGAAATTTTAATAAAAACAAGTAATGAGAGGATTATTACTAGGTACAGGGTGCTGTGTCAGTCTATCTGTCTGTTGCAGAAAAAAAGCAGTAACATGGGATGGACAAAACATCTCTAAATGTAATAACAACCAGAGAAACATGAAAGGAAAACACACACGAAATAATGGTTACATTTCTTCATCATAATTACAATAAACTTTGATTTCCTCTCATTTCTACACTATTTCTCCTTTGTGATACAGTTTTCACCTCTACCACCCAGGCAATCACTGTGGCCCTCTCGGTTCTGGACCTCCTCACACCCTGTACTCTGGTAGTAGTCACGTGTCTGAATGGTAGGACTTGTACGTATGGGATCTTCGTTTGTGTCCCAGGGTGCAGAATAGCAACATTGAGGCTATCATCCCAAACAGCTGCAAAGGAAAGTAGACAGGTCAAGGATAGAATCAATATATTTTGAAATTTTCTTTAAAGTTTACCTCCAGTTAGTGATTTTTGAGTCAAAGTGTACCACCAGTTAGTGATTCTTCATGTCAAATAATGTGTGACCTTGCATAACTTACCTGTACAAATGCAAAGATCAAGCCAATTACTCCTACCAGGTGAAGTCGCTCAATGAACCACATCTTCACCTGCATGTAACACCCAGCATGATACCAGTGATCTTTTTCTTCAGTCTTCCCACAATCTGTTAAAAGTAAATAAAATATACTTCTGGTGGATTTTTTTTTATTTATTTATTTTTTTTATTCTAAGAGTATAACACTGTATCCAGGATTGTTTGAAAATTTATTAGATTTATGAAGGATTTAATTTTTATGAATTCTAAATGTTAAAAATATTGGTAAAGTAAAGTGCACTCACACACACACAAACACACTACATATGAATATAAAACTGGGAGTTATATGGTATTACGGTCACAATTTCACAGAGGCCAAACAAAATCTATACAATAATACGAACCTGGATCATCGACGTACTTGGCAATGCAACAGGCATGTGGCACCCATTCTTCTTGTGGCCAGATGGCAATTTTGTACCAATCACTAGGCCCCTCCACCCCACAACACTAGAAAAATTGTAAACCATTTCAAAAGCAATATCCTGTTGTATATTTAATAGTGATAATAAATCTTAAATCAGTAAAAGTAAAAAAGTAAAGTAATATGCTGCACAGTATACTACAATTAGTGTACAGTATATGAAAAAGTTCAAAATACATTACTATACTGTACTGTAATAAGAACAGCTTCGGGTGATGTATTTCTATACTGTACTGTATTTCCTACTCGGTATTACAAATGAAAATAAGTACAATATGGATGAAATTTTTAGATAGAAAATAAGTACAGTATACAGGTATCTCCTGATTTACGATCTCTCTATCTACGATATTCCGCTTTAGCGATGGTGATGTATTAAAACCACCCCCCTATTTATATTGTAAATAATTCGTGTGAGCGATGTTCATCGTCCAGTCAACACGGAATATGAGGTGTATCTCTCGGTCCACTTGTCAGCTGCGACCACCTGGTGCACTACAGTACCAAGCTTTGTTCCATGGTGATTGCATATCGCCGTAATTGTGTTACTTATAATCATTTTTTCTACCTTACAGTGAGAGGACATCACTAACATTACCATTGTACTCTGTTATGGTGACTGTGAAGTGATTTTTGTTACATTTTTTGTGTTGTAATGTGCTTTGCCTCTGTTGTTGTGAACATGATTTGAGCAGTGTCGGTCGCTATCATTTTTACGTTATCATCGTTCGCTCTGTTTTTGTAACAAGTGGTTTGGCTGTTTTTGTGACTGTGAAGTGAGCAGCGTAACTTTGAAAATGTCTGGGAAGACCGAGGCATCCAGGAAAACTGTGTCTCTGGAGGTGAAGAGTGATATTGTAAAGTGACATGAGACTTCCGAGAGACTGTGTGGAAGTCAGAGTGACGTCTCCATTCCACCTTCAAGAGTTCCCTTAGCCTCGAAGGGGATATGTATTGATGACCAGAGTTGTTTCTTATGATGTGGTGACTGTTACTTAATTCAGATGTCGATATAGTATTAGTGTAGGATTTTATTTTTATTTTATGTTTTTTTTGGTGATACTTGTGAGTGTTGGCCTGGCTTGGAACGTACATCATTGAAACCCATATTATAATGATCCTGATTTATGATATTTCAACATGCGATGGGTTTTTCAGGAACATAATCCCATCGTAAATAGGAGGATACCTTTACTCGTACTATACAATATATTAGGCAGGTAGGATTACAGAATACATTTTCTTACAAGTATGATCAGTCTACATGTATAGTTCTGAAATATTCTAATAAAATATTTCTTTAGTTCATGTAATGTTACAATACGGTATACAGTACAGTACAGTATATAACATAAAGATCCTAACTGAAAACTTTATGCATTTATTCTTAATTTTCTTCTCATTATAAAATATATTTTCATGATACAATTCATTTTGAGTACAGTACTGTACTGTACTATAATGCGACTAAATGATAAAACTAAATATAACTTAAAAACATTTCAAAACTGAAAATATGTTTAATATCAAATCCAGCTAAAGATTTCATAAAATTTTGGGGATTATTTCTTTACAAAACATTTTACTAAAACTGTGTAGTGTACAGTTGACCATACAGTACAGGGTACCTGTATTTTGCCCAATTTTTTAAAACTACAGTACAGTGCAACCTCGAAAATTCGAATTAAATGGGCCCATGAAGTGTTCGAATTGTAGATGTATGGAAGCGCCAGAGCAAAGTGTTGTATCAAAACGTGCTGCAAAAATTATTTACATATCTAAAACTGTCAATAAGCAATAGGTATAATAAATTAAAAGTATTACTGTATTTATATTCAACAACATTTATTCTAATATATTTAGAACATTATAGCTACAGTGGTCTCCATGTAATCCTGCCAGTCTCCAAATACTGTACTGTGCAACACTCCGTCTCCATCCACCTTCACTGTACTGGATACAATGCGTGACCTAGCATGATCTTGGGACCCGGATGCGCTTGTTGTGCTCATCATTATGATTGCATTTGAAAGCTTGAATTATTATGGCGATATTTTCAAATTCTAAACTTAAAATTTTGGCACTTATTTTTAATCATATGCTATTCGAATTTTCGATGTATCCGAATTTTTGAGGTTTCACTGTACAGTATAGTCTGGATTTAAGCGGTTTTTGTTTACGCGTTTGGTCATTTACGCGGTGCCTTGCCAGAATGAAATGTTTTATTTACGTGGTAAATTTGGTCATTTACACGGCGAGGTCCAGGCGCTCCACGCCATTTTTTACTCACACGGTCCATTCTTGACCATACGCGGGAAGCAGCGCGGTGAGGGGTGCGCATTAGGCTGCTCTTACGTTATCGCTGACGTCATATAACGTATCAGACTGTGATTGGGCCACGCATCCTTACCACCCACGCATTCCCTCCGCCGCTAGCTGTGATTGGTCTAATGTAACATGACGTGCCCTGCCACCAGAGGGTACAAGTCGCTGACCTAGCCGGGCCAGTCTCATTGTTCTCAGTTCACGTATACAGTTCTCTCTTGTGCCCGCTATTCCTCTCACAATGGCTTCCGCTGGACCCCCACCACCCGAGAAAAACCTTGAATTACCTGGACCAAGCCATGATTGTGTGAAGGAAATCATCGAGTTGGGGGAGAAAATTAAGCTCATCCTTGACAACAACACAGACAAGCATTGGTATGAAGTGTCTAATAACCATCTGACGGAAGTTATGGAGCCGTATATCCAGATCTATCTCGACAACATCAATGCTAGTCGTCAACGTAGTATTAAGGACTTCTTCGCCCGCAACCCACCACAACCACAGCCAGCCCAAGTCAATGATAGTGATAGTGACAGTGAGGATATGGACTTTGAGGGGTTTGTCTGGGAGGCCCTGCAAACCTCTGCGAGTAGTGAAAGTGATTCACCGGAGGGCAACTAATCTGCCCTCTGCCTCGGAACCAGCCGCCATCCACGTGTGCCGACCCATCTTTTCTACTAACGTAAGTGTTAAAAAACCTAATATTATTGATATTTCTCTTAAATATTAATTGTGTGTGCATACCATCATAAAATTAAGATGTTATTTTTACTACAACGTACGTATTGTGTCGGAAAAAGTGGAGTTTGGGGGGTCGGCCCAGTCTCTATTTCAATTAATCCCATATGTTCTGTTATTTCGTTTACGCGTTTCTTGTATTACGCGGACCTCCACGGGTTCAATTGACCGCATAAATGCAGACTATACTGTATAGTAATTTGTGTATGTTAAGCTTAAACAATGGATTTGCTCACTAAGCAAAAAAAATAATAAATAAAAAAATATTAACAATAATGACCTCAAAGAATTGTGGATACGTATAACAAAACTTCAAGAAAGCAAAATTTCACATTTTGGGTTTTTCCCAATAGTCAGAATACATTACAAAACCGTCCAGAATGCATTGTGGTTGTTGAGAAAACCCCAGATGTGAAATTTTGTTTTCTGGTAATTTTGTTACATACAGTACTGTACACAATACCTTGTACTTTGTGATTGTTTTCTCCACTCAGTGAGCGAATTTGTTATTAGATCCTAATACATTCATACTGTACTGTATTATCTTCATATTTGACATTAAAATTTAATTGATTGGCATAGATATATACAGTACAAATTTGATGTTCCATACAGTAAATAAGTTTATTACATACATGGAATTGACTCTGAAGGTGATTCCAAGTAATGGCTACAGCATTCTCTGCAGATTCATTGAAAGATCGTCGGATACCGGCCTGCAGTTCACCAACCAAAGTAGCGGACACTTCTCCACGAAAAGCAAAAGCGAGTGTGCCAGCGACTAGTTGTAGTGTAAAAACTACAACAACCAGACTAAAATACTGAAAAATAATAATAATAATGACAAATCATGAATTACTTAATACAGAGTAATGTACTGTACAATACAGCATAATGATAATCCAATCATTTATCCTACACAAGACTATTGCATATAATGTATTCCTATGAACTGCCCAAAAAAGTGAAATTTGGTTCCATGGACATGACTGCCCATTAGGGACGGTGTGGCTACGGCACACTGTATACTGAGCCTTTGGTATACAAGGAGGCAGCATGGCCGGTACTGCACTTCACTTCCCAAAGCTACCCATTTACAGCTGGGTGAACTGGGAGTGCCCCGGGATCAAACCACCATCCCATGGAACAGAAGGCGAGTGTTTTATCCACTTGATCACAGCACTGTATTAAAAATAGTACTATACTGGACAATCCTAAGGCTACACGTCTCTATATAAACGTCCAAGAAGCTCACTGTTATCAGCAAACATCGGCTCTGGAACCATGAACCACAGCAGCCACAGAAAGCGAGGACGAAGGTAATAATGCCGGCAGCGAGACACAAGGAATCAGCAGAGATGGCGGAGTACTGATGCAGAAGAGAGGCGTAGCCACCGTACGCTAACCGAAGCCATATACCTGCACCGAGCATTGAGCAGCCAACAATCTGTAAACATATACATTACGTTAATAGGGAGATAAATAACCATACCCCATGATGAGATAAATGTGAAGTATAAACTATTAGATTAAAAATTATCCTGGTACCTCTCATTTGTATTACAGATGGTTGATATTTTCACTTCAATAACAAAACAGAACTACAAGCATCATTTTTTTTGGGGGTGATTTTTCAGAGCAGAGGAATAAACTTAAAAGTGAATTTACGATGGAGGAGTAAGTGTGTTCTCTTTAACCTTCCTAACACTCTCCCTGACCATGTAAACTGATCAAAATATAACTGTCATAACAAAAGAGAGGGAGGAGGGTGGGAGGAAGGGTGGAATAAAGAAGAGAAAGAGTAACAAGGGGAAGGAGGTAAGGAGGGGAAGGGTGAAATAAAGAGGAGAAGAAGTGGCATGGGAGAGAGAGAGAGAATACATACTCGAAATATTTGAAATGTTTGGACACAACAGGTGAAGCTAAACACGAGTAGGTCCACAAGTCCCAGTGTTATGAAGCGGATAAGTTTACGAGCAGACGTACTAAAGATAACAGAAAGAGTTGTACATGTGATGAGTTTGTCAGAGGTGCTGAGGTTAATAAAGGAAACATTAAGGCAGTGTTTACAGAAGGTGGAGCTTTGAGATCTTGAGATGGGGATTGGGGAGGGGAGGGTCATTTAGAGTACGAGAGCCCTTAAACCACTTGCAACAAAGGCTTCCATAATGTTTAAACAACTTCAGGAATTTAGTTAGTCATTATCATAGAAGAAGTGTTGTGGAAAGGGACGCGTGGTGGTTGTGAGAGGGACAGTAAAAGAAAGAGGCGGAGGAGGAAAACAACAGGAATAGCATGTCATGGAGAGGGCGTGAGGTCGAGTGGTTTGTTGTGCTGCTGGCCGCTCATGTCATACCATCTACACGTGCCACAGCTTCTCTTGTCACACCATCTCCACCTGCCACATCTTCTATCACCATCTCCACCTACCACCCCCTCTTGTCACACCATCTCCACCTACCACCCTCTCGTCACACCATCTCCACCTACCACCCTCTCTTGTCACACCATCTCCACCTGCCACCCCCTCTTGTCACACCATCTCCACCTGCACCTTTGTCCACCATCTCCACCTCCACCTCTCTTGTCACACCATCTCACACTGCCACTTGTCCACACCATCTCCACCTGCCACACCTTCTATCACACCATCTCCACCTACCACCTCTCTTGCCATCTCCTACCACCCCTCTCTTGTCACACCATCTCCACCTGCCACACCTTCTATCACACCATCTCCTACCCTCTCTTGTCCACACCATCTCCCTACCACACCCTCTCTTGTCACCATCTCCACCTGCCACACCTTCTATCACACCATCTCCACCTGCCACCCCCTCTTGTCACACCATCTCCACCTGCCACACCTCGTCTGTTTATTTACTACACACTAAACACCTTCCCCATCTCACTTTTCCTTCTCTTGGCCATTTATGGAGTGGTAAACTGAACGAGACTTATTCAAGGTCAAGCTAATTTGAATTAATTTTAATCCTCGTTTGTTGATGTTGTACTTGTGAACTGTGTCCTGTGCTAAATTGCTTCACTCACCCACATGAAAGTATTGAGGACGCAGAGAGTGTGTCTGACGCAGGTGTAGCCCGTACGCCCGGCCATCCTGTAATAAATATAGAGGAGATAATTGTAAACATCCCAGGGTGAGGGTACATCAGCACACCTTTCCTCTTGTTGTGTGTGTGTGTGTGTTGTGTGTGTGTGTGTGTTGTGTGTGTTGTGTGTGTGTGTGTGTGTGTGTGTGTGTGTGTGTGTGTGTGTGTGTGTGTGTGTGTGTGTGTGTGTGTGTGTGTGTGTGTGTGTGTGTGTGTGTGTGTGTGTGTGTGTGTGTGTGTGTGTGGTGTGTGTGTGGCGTGTGTGTGTGTGTGTGTGTGTGTGTTGTGTGTGTGTGTGTGTGGTGTGTGTTGTGTTGTGTGTGTGGTGTGTGTGTGTGTGTGTGTGTGTGTGTGTGTGTGTGTGTGTGTGTGTGTGGTGTGTGTGTGTGGCGTGTTGGTGTGTGTGTGGTGTGTGTGTGTGTGTGTGTGTGTGTGTGTGTGTGTGGGTGTGTGTGTGTGTGTTGTGTGTGTGTGTGTGTGTGTGTGTGTGTGTGTGTGTGTGTGTGTGTGTGTGTGTGTGTGTGTGTGTGTGTGTGTGTGTGTGTGTGTGTGTGTGTGTGTGTGTTGTTTCATTCGTATTTGTACGTGTTTATGAACGACTGTCTGCAAAAAATCATTTACAAGGAACATAGACACATGTTAACACGGTCATTGGTAACAGTCATAAGTAACAGTCCCAAGTAACAGTCCCAAGTAACATTCACAAGTAACAGTCCCAAGTAACAGTCTCAAGTAACAATTCCAGGTAACAGTCACAAGTAACAGTCGCAAGTAATAGTTCCAGGTAACAGTCACAAGTAAGTCACAGGTAACAGTCCCAAGTAACAGTGCCAGGTAACAGTCACAAGTAACAGTCCCAAGTAACAGGCATTAACAAAAATCCCCAGATCTTCTTTAAAGTTTCAGAAGCTACGTCACGTGATTTGAAACATTTACGTCATCGTTCTATCCGGCTTCTCTCTTTATGTGCCACCTTACGTCATCGTTCTATCCGGCTTCTCTCTTTATGTGCCACCTTACGTCATCGTACTATCCGGCTTCTCTCTTTATGTGCCACCTTACGTCTTATTTATATCCGGCTTCTCTCTTTATGTGCCACCTTACGTCTTATTTATATCCGGCTTCTCTTTTATACCATCACTCCGGCTCATAAACAGCCCATCTCCTCGACCCAGGAAGAAGATATCCGTGTAAACAATGTACCTCCTTCGTCGTGCACACCTTGGACTCTTGCCATGTACAGACTCTGGATTCGTTAATTATATTCGAGGATACAATGTGTGTGTGTGTGTGTGTGTGTGTGTGTGTGTGTGTGTGTGTGTGTGTGTACGGCACAAAAGCCTCGCCATATCCTCTCAAGTACCATAGAACAACCTTCGCCCTTCACCGTGAGCCTTGAAGGAGCTGACACGTCCTAGTCCACCTCCTGCGTGGGCGTCCTCCTCTCCTGGAGCAACGCGACGATGGTTAAAGATGGGTAGTGACGCCAGGAGGAGAGGGAAGGAGCAGTAGTGACAGCAGCAGGAGAGGGAAGGAGCAGTAGTGACAGCAGCAGGAGAGGGGAGGAGCAAAAGCTGTCAATTACAAGCGACGAGGAAGAATCAATAAGCAGTAGCAACGAATGATAATGAGGTGAAGCCTAGCGATTAAATTGTTGCTGGACGGACGCTGAGACATGCATTAGCTCTATAAGGCTTAGGCGTAGGGGAGTGTGCAGGACAGACTCGCACAAAAGGCGTGAGGGACGGGCGGCGGTGATACTGTGGGCGCCCTGGGAACATGATAGGATGGACTGAAGGCATGACAACACCTGGGTTCATATACTGGGCATCTGTGGGCACCTCCTGGGTACATGGTGGGGGTGGTGTTAAATCATTTGGGCTAGACAGTAGCATGGCTGGCTCCCTCGGCGTGTGCCTTGTGTTTATTTTTGTGGAGAATGAATGCGCGCTCGTGCTTCCTCCTCCTCCTCCCGTCCACAGTCCTTGTAACCCCACCATACTCTCCTCACCCCACTCTATCTCTCCGTCACCCCCTCTCCTTCCCTCTCCCCCCTCTCTTATAGTTAACATCATCTCTGTCATGTTCCTATACCCATATATAAACAACAATAATATATAAACAAATATATATACAGTATATACTAGTGAGTTAGTCTTCGTCCTGGCCATATATGCGTCTTACCTGTCAACATGTAAGGTTACGTTAGCGTAGTGTAAACATCAGTGTTTACGTATATACAAACAGGTGGATTCTATCTCGACATGGCTCCTCTGGCAGTGACCATAACATAATAAGACCAGGGTGGCTGATCCTCGTCTCCTGCAGTCAGTAATCCTGCAGGAGGTCCCAGGTATCGTGGGTCATCGAGGCTGAGGTGTAACAGAGGTCAATGTGGGTGTTGGGCGAGGGCAACGCTCCTATTGGTTCGTTGTACTTAAAGCAGCGCTGTTATTGGTCTGTTGTATTTAAAGCGGCCCTGTCATTGGTTCGTTAAACTTGAGATGGCGTTGTCAATGGTCAGTTTTAACCTGGTCGAGGATATTAATTTCTTGTTTGTTTCCCTTATGACAGAATTAATATTCCTCAGTTTCAACAAAGGCAGAACTACTGTTATTAATTACACTTGATACAGGACATTTTGTAAGGTTTAGTTAAGCTCAACGTATGTACTGTACAATGATGTGGGCCGTTTATCGTATCTGACGCTATTCTTGTCGGGACTGTCAGTGTAAACAGTGCCATTTGTCAGTCATGATGAAGGACAGAAATTATGCTGATTACTGTAAATATGTTGAGTTGACCGTATAAGGAGACACCACTGCCATTGGTCAAGTGAATGCAAGGTGAAGCTGCTATTGGTCAGCATAGTGCAAGACGAAGCTGCTATTGGGTTATTGGTCAACAGATTGCGAGACTCCGGCTGTTGACGTAATGTTGTGTCAGCCATCAAAACCAAGTACAGGTTTATGACTGTTTGAGCAGAAGTATCGGAGAAAAATCAACTCGTATTACTGTACAGATTTGTCAGATTTCAGATTACGCAAGTAGGGATGGCTGAACGTGGGGGCACTATTTATCTCGTCAAGAGTCGTGTCTTAGCACAGGTAATGAAGTAGAGAGAAGTAGAGAATAATAACATGAATATAAAGTAATGGAAGAGAGGACATTAACTACAGGTAACCCATTGACATAGAGACATACACCTAAATATGGAGGAAAAATACTAATCATCAACCTCATCTTGTTGGGTTACATCACGTTTCATTCAAATCTACTTCAATTTGTTCTAGTTATCGTGTTCATACGATACCGAACTGACACACAGACGAGCTGAGAAGTTTTTCTTACAGTTCCCCCCCAGTTAGAGGCGACGGGGTACAACAACATAGAAAACGGGATTGAAAACAAAAGACGATAATGGCATCACAGAACACGGAACAAGGACACTAAAACAGGATAAAGACGCAGGGTGTTGAAAGGAGAGATGGAGAGGAGTATGAGGAGGGGCAGGGAGAGGAGGGAGAGGGAGAAGAGTGTGTGGAGGGAGGGAGGGAAGGAGTGTTGGTGTAAGTTACGACGACAGACAAAAGTCCTTCAGTCACTTGTCTTTGTTGTGGTGGGCTGGTCCCCGATACCTCTCTGGCCTCAGCTGGACCACCACAACCCCGTGCTCTCTCACCCCAGGAAGGAAGGAAGGAAGGAAGGAAGGAAGGCAGGCGTCTAGTCTACCACAGTCTGAGGGACGGTGACTTAGGGAAGGAAGAACCCAGCTTAAAGGAGGAAAGAAAGTGGTTTACGAGGGAAGAATTCATCTTAAAGAGGGAGTAAGAAGACACTGGTGGGGCTTTATGGGAGGAAAATAGTGGATTGGGGGCTGAAAATGCAGCTTAGAGGGATAATTGGACTTGGAGACAGAGACATCCAATTATAGTGAGGACAATGGAACTCTCGTACTCTCTAGCGACATCAAATCCGGTCACCTACTCCCAAAGCACGCCAATAAATGACTCTTCTCCCTGTAGTCTTAAAATCATCAACCACACACAATATTTTGATAAGTTCGAAGGATAAAAACTACTAACAATACCACAGTAATGTACACCACAGAAGGTTCCTCAACCCGTGACTGTTGGAGCAGTGTTACGCCAGAACCAGTCTAGACGCCACTGGTCTACAGGTGTGGGAGTGTCACCCTCCTGCGTTACCTCACCTGCACCTTCACTACACGAGCGAGCACGCCCTTACACGTACTAACCTTGAACCCCGATGGTCAGAGATCCGTGTGTTAAAGTCCTCACAGCTCAGAGCCTCACGAGCAATGACACAAAGCGCTAACTAAATGTGTCGAATTTGCAGTCACGCTACATTAAGGAGATGAGTTCTGTTATTCCCTGCAGAGGAAAACATTACGTAGACTTGTTTCAGAACCTGTGTTTTGTTTTTCTGCTGTTGCTGTTTTTATTAGTTCAAGTCTGGGTATTTTAATTGTTTTTGCTACTTTTATTCATTAACAGGTTTATTTTATTAGGTTTTTGTTAATGTGTGGTTAGTTTTCTTGTTGTTGTTGGTATTTTCCATCGTTAAACATCAGAGCATCACAGTCAACTTTTCCTAAACGTTCACAGTAATGTTTTTATATAGTCTGACTTCCTGAACTTCCCCGCGTTGTTCACCTCCATTACCCGGAAAAACGTCCCTCGTTCACGACCTTTAACCTTTACTCTTATTTTTGTTTACATGTCGAGTCTTCATTAAATCTGACGCCCACTAACATCGCTCTCAGGTCCTGTCAGGCTCACAAGCCACGTCCGTAGGTCCCTTTACGCCCACAAGCAACGCCCGCGGAGTTCCTTTCACGCCCACAAGTAACGCCCACGGAGGTCCTTTCACGCTCACAAGTCACGCCCGTAGGTCTCCTTACGTCAACAAGTAACGCCCGCGGAGTTCCTTTCACGCCCACAAGTAACGCCCGCGGAGTTCCTTTCACGCCCACAAGTAACGCCCG